AGTGTTACATGGTGCTGTCTTTGTGCCAGCTGAACCCACACAGAGACATTTGTTTCCTCTCTTTTCTGTCAGGAACATCAGCTCCATGCCTCCTATTGTAGGCTGGCCCAGATCGATGAGGTGATTAGTGGATTAATTAAGATGGTTGGTGAACATAAATGGTTAAAAAGGAAAAAGCTGGAGCCTTTCACATATTCATTTATTTTTATAGCACAACAACGGCATACAAAGAGTTCCCAAGAAAGAAAAACATTGGTAAAGACAGAAAATAAGGGAAATATATACAAAAACTAGAAAAATGGAAATCTGAATCAACGGTGAAAATGTAAATGGTTAAAAAAGGAAATAAGGACATATTTACATTCCAACTGGAGCCTTTCACATATTTATTTATTTTTATAGCACAACAACGACACACAAAGAGTTCCCAAGAAAGAAAAACATTGGTAAAGACAGAAAATAAGGGAAATATATACAAAAAAACTAGAAAAATGGAAATCTGAATCAACTGTGAAAATGTAAATGGTTAAAAAAGGAAATAAGGACATATTTACATTCCAGCTGGGGCCTTTCACATATTTATTTATTTATTTTTATAGCACAACAACGGCACACAAAGAGTTCCCCAGAAAGAAAAACATTGCTTAAGACCAAAAAAATAAGGGAAATATAAACAAAAAAACAAGAAAGAAAAACATTGGTGAATAGAATACAAAAAATAAAGTAAATGTATACAAAAAACTAGAAAAATGTAAATCTGAATAACAAGAGTGAAAATGTAAAAGACATTAGAATAGTAGCAGGCTGCTCTCATGACTCATTTTCTTTGTTTTTAGAGTAAAAAAAGCTGAAAATGTTTTGATTGTGTCCATAAAAGAGACTTTTAAAGTTGACTTCCAGCATCTTTTCTGAATAATTAAATCAGTCTTTCCTGTTGAGCTGCTGCCTCACATGGAGACAAACTGACACAGATAAACAACATTATTGACCATTTTCCAACTAAATCTGAGGACGGACACAGAAACGACCTGCAGCTCAGGATGAATCCACAAATGATTATTTACAGCAAGAAACAAGCTGAGAGGAGAGTTTATCTGAGCTCGCACAACTCTGCTGAGGATCCAACCAAAAAAAATCCATGTATCCCAACTCCAGCATAGAGAGGCTGAGTGAAGGTGGTCTGGACTCTGTGGAGGAGAGTCCTGGTCTCAGAGACGCTGTAGAAGGACAGAATACCTGCTCTGGGATCCAGGTACACTCCTACTCTGGAGGGAGGAGGAGCTGAGAGGGAGGTTTTTATGCTGTTGAACCTAAATGAAGAACTGTTTCCACCACAATACAACGCCCAAGATTTGTCATTATATCCAAATCTACATTCATTCCCAGTTCCTTTTCTGCTGATATTCTTGTATGCGACTGCTACAGTAACTGCCCCCCCATACTCTCCTCTCCTCTCCACCTCCCAGTAACAACGTCCAGTCAGACTCTCTCTGCTCAGGACCTGAGACCAATAAGTGAATCTGTCTGGATGATCAGGATAAGACTGAGGTTTATTCATTAATCTCACCTTCCTGTTCCCCTCTGACAGTAACAGGTCACTGTGTGCTGTGTTTGGATCCAGTGTGATCTTTCGTGAACATCTTAAGAAGTCGGCTCTGCTCTCTGGTTCTGGTGGCAGTAGAACATCCGGCTGAGCGGCTGCCAGTGAGACTTTAGTCCAGTCCTGAGTCAGGATGTGCTGCAGTTGGTCTGTGAGCTCTGACACGGCTGCTGTCACATCCTCAAAGCAGCTCAGAGGACGCTCCCTGATGCTGGAGGAGTGTGTGGACTCCC